GTGAAATCAAATCATCATGAAGTTCAATCTCAGATAGGGTTGAATAACTTTGGAACATTATGTGGACTACTTCAACCCATTTATTTTTGATTTTTTAGTATTTTGTCATTTTGCTACCCTATTTCGAAGGCATTCACATTATGTGGTTGTGAGCTAGTAAGTACTCTTAGCCATTAAATCATCCATCGTTTCTACTAAAAATTTCTTAATCCAATGGGTGAGGACATAAAGCTGAGGTGAGACTCCTTGAATGATAACTTTTCTCTTTACTGTTTGAACGATATCAAGAGATGTGCTGGTTTTGGGAGCTTACCATATGAACAGAATTGAAAATTTTTAAGAATTGAATTTTTAGTGCCGGTATTTTTAAGTGGAAATAAAAATTGAGATTTTTTATAATATATTTTTTTTAAAAAAGAAAAATTTAAGTGTTCATCATTTAGTGATAAGTGAAGTTAAGTGTTATTTTAAATCTCAATTTAACGCTTAATTCTGAAATGATTAAAGGTTTATTCAATTAAGTGTATATGATAGCGCAATTTAAATATTACAAAAAAACTGAAAATGGATTAAAATTAACATCACTGAAATTGAGTAAAATTTTAAGTAATAATAATGTCACTTATCACCTAATGCTAAATGTTGAAAATTTAAAAAGATATCAAAGTAATATTTATTTTTTAATTACCACTTGTAAACTTCAGTACTTAATATTTTCAGTTTCATCAAACAACAAATGTTACCCCAATTTAAGTGGTTTTACTCTTTAAAGTGACATTCAAATTGTGTTATCACTATTGCTATGTTTGGGAGTACTGAATCCGTGGTTTGAATTTGAGATTGGATTCATGGATTCAGTGCTCCCAAACACAACATATGTTACGTTTGGGAGCACCGAATTGGTTGCTGCTGATTTGGTACTTTCAAACATTACAGTAGTGTGCATGCCCTAACATTTTCCCCCCGAAATTGAGATCATTGGATATTCTATATCATGCTGCTTACAAAAAGGATAGATTGTGACAGTGTTTTAACCATGCCCTAACATAAAAGTCGTGCATGGTTCATTGTGTGGGGATATATATAGATTTATATATATGTATATATATATGACTAAATAAATTATGGCTACAACCTCCCATTAAAGCCTTGGCATGTTGAGATGTGGAAATGGATCTGAAGTACTCTAAAGTCTAAACACGAGAGAGTGAGTGGGAGTGAGCTTAGGATTGGTCAGATGGTATGGACCATTTAACTTAAGTACCTAACGAGGCAAAGTTTTATAAGTGTTATTGAGTTTTTGGAGTGGCCCAAGAGCTGTAAAGCTAAATTAAAGGTATATAATAATAGATAGGACCACATAGTACAGAGTGAGAGTGGCAATGGTCTAGCTAGTTTTGGTGACAGTAATGGTCCTTCACTCCTTATTCATTTTACTTTTAATACCTTTTCAGGTCCTCTTTACTAATCCAATGACCTATCAACCACCATTTTCTTCCCAAGATTTGAGTTGTCAAAGCTTTACTACCATGACAAACATAGACTTGAGGTAGGTTTTTAGAAGATGGAAGGAAGGTTATACTTGGTACTCCACTATTTAGTATTGTAGCACTTGAAAATATTCTGAAAAATACTATTATACTCTATTTTTATTTTATTCTATTTAAACTAACAAATTAATCAAACCCCAAATGAACACAAGTGGTCCAAGGCTTATATTTTACCTTGTAAATGAAGAGAAAAATAAAAAATTGTCCAGCTTTAGATGAGGTCAGTCAGGAAAAGAAGTATCTATACAGTACTCTCAAATCGTAACAGGTGGGCGCTTGCCTGCTGATTCAAAAGTTTAAATTATTGGCTCGTGCTACATACTTACTTATTTATACCATTTTATTTCTCATTTAGATCCGATGTGGGATACCTCTAACATTCTCTTCCAACCGAATTCGCAACACTCACGTTACGATCGGGCCACCCTGCCTACCCAGGGTGACAACCCGAACACCTCTGAATCATGCGCTTGGCGTGACACCGAATCAAAAAATGAGTCTGCCTCTGATACCAACTGTAACGGATGGACACTTACTCGTTGGTCCAAAAACTTAAGCTATTGGGACTTGATCGGATGTGGGACACCTTTAACACAAATCATGATCAATGAAAAACTCTCAATTTTCTTTGATAATATATTTTCGGGAGAATTATTACATAGTTTCGGGACCAATGCAAATGTGTCAGTTCTATGTCATTATTAATCAACTTTTTACTTATGTGTTGCTTTGGGACCATATGGTCATGAGACCATGTAATAATTTCTTATATGCTATGTACTCGGGTACTTAATAACTATCCTACACATAACTCGGGTGGTTCAATAAAAATAAAAAATAAAAAATCATTAATTTTATCAATTCTAATCACCTTGTATTGATTTTTGTGATGTCATATTGAATTATGTTATTAATTTACACTCAACGAGTATATATATATATATATATATATAATATTTTAAAATTAGAGTTCCACAAAATAAAAATAGAAAGAATTTCACACATTGCTTGTACTATGGGGAGGGTGCAACCGTGCAAGTTATAGTCAAATAAATGAGTACATTAAGTCCTACATCAATTCGAGGTTATTGCTCCGAAAAATGATAAAGTTCAGATCTTGAAATCGTGAAAACCCTAATTTAAAAACGAGATAGTGACTCTAAACAAATAATAATAATTGTACCTATTTGTCATTCAACGCAATGTTATGACCACCTTCCACATTTAACCTCAGCTTTAATTTATAAATTAATCTCTTCCCTAGAAGCCTTGGCAATGTGAATGTTTTAAAATTGCTCAAAGGAGAGACAACTGTATAATATAGTCTACACATACATATATGTATGTATGTATATATTAAGAAAACATAAATGTAGAGAGAGAGAGGGAGAGTAGTGTACGAAGGTACTTCCAAGAAAGGCAGAAGCTAAAATGGCTGATTTAGTCAGCCAAATGCAGGGACCATAATTAAATGTCGGGTCCAAGATGAGCTGAGCTGGTTTAGTGCTCACACAGTGGAGTGTGTGAAAAAAACTCTTAAGAAGTGGCGAAATTACGAAAGAGGAACCGAACCGACTATAGCTGCCACAAGTTCTGTGAAATGTAGGGCCCATATGATATATATATCTATATATATATATATATGTTTACATCCAAATATGATTCAGCTTAGAGAAGAGAAGAGTGGGCCCATGAGACTTTGAGAGGACACTTAAAAATGCCATGTGAGGTGGGATACCACCAGCCTGGCTAATGTCTAAATGTGTGGGTCTTTCTTTCCGACCTGTCCCTTTACCGCTTCCCTCCCACCTCCTCTCCCAACGACTCTTTTTTTTTTCAGAACCCAAAATAATTATTCTAAAAATCGAGTTGGTATTAGTTAAGACGCCAAACCCTTATTAAGTAAAGAGATGGTGACCTTGTTTAAGAGGATTTGGTACCCTTGCTTTTTTTTTTATTTTTTATTTATGAAATACTTCTTAAATTTGAATTTTCTTCTAAATGAAGAAAAAGTGTGAAACTTTTTCCATTTTGAACATGTGTATTTTTTTTTTTTTTTTTGGTTTATTTGAACAAAGGTGTAATTTAGAATTCATCTTTTTTTGGAAAAGAAAAATTAATTCTAAATTATTTGAAAAGGGTAATTTTGGTATTATAAAATAAAGAAAAAGGTAAGCAGGGTACAATGTTAGAAAAATTGAATGTAAATATTGTCTCCCTATTTTAAATAAAAAATAAAAACTCTTTTACTGAAAGAGAAAGAGTATTTTGATCATTTTATAAATTTTTTTTTATTATAATTGACTGTTAGGGGGGCAATTTGCATACATTTCTCAAATTTTGAAAGGGTTTATACGTTCATACTAGATAGGAGGAGTGTTTTGTGCATAATTTTTATATAATGGGAGTTTTTTTTTACACTTTACTCTATAGTCAATTGTTCTATGAAATACTTCTTAATTTTCTTTGAAATTAAGAAAGTATATGAAACAAAATATTAGACATGTTTTTTTTTTTTGGAATTTTATATACACTTTAGTTTACTTGAACTAAGGTGTAATTTAGAATATTTTTATTTTTGAAAAAAAAAAATCATATGCGTTCGGAAAATAAATTTCAAATCGCTTTAGTGACAACTCAAATGAACTCAACTCAATTAAACAAAAATGTTATCCAACTTATTATAATTGTTTTGAGATTAAAATTTTGTATATCACAGGTAAGACTTAAACACTTAGCCTCTCTTTAACCAAAAAAAAAAAATCACCACACTATCTGAACTAATGCTCTTTGAGCAAACAAAATACGATTGTTCTCGAACAAAAGTGTAATTTAGATGGATCAATGCAAACCCAATGTGTGTTTAATATAGTGTTTAAATGAGTTTATATGACAATTTTTTAGTTTAGGTTAGAATTTTTAATCTTAAATCCATTTAAGTTGGACTTGGACTAGAGATTTCTTAACAAATTAACAATCGAAATTTATATAACTTTAAAAATATTTCCAATTCGAGCTTAATCCAACTAAGCCAAATCAATTCAAATACCGCATCCATAAATTTCTTGTAACATTAGTTTAGCTTTGTTAAGTGGTATATGTGTGTGTATATATATACACACACACACACAATATACGATTACAATTTCTATACATCACGTGGCTTTGGCTGTGTTGTACCTTCTTCTACCATATTTACGTGGAGGTGTCCTGGAGCGGAGGGCAATATGGTCAAACCACCCGGAAACGGGGACGACTGTTTTGACGAAGACTGAGGAAGAGCCGTTGGGAGGTAAGGGCAATATGGGAAAGAGTGTTATGAAAGTATTTGACAAACACAACAGTTTTTGAGGGCTGGGTTGCAGTGAAGAGCAAGGAAAATGATAGTGGTTGTTGTAGTCCCTCCCTCCAGTTGTTACCTTATAACCATTCTTTTGATGCACTCACCTCCATGTTACCCACATTTGATAATTCCCCCAACTACCCTTTTCTCTCTCTACAAATATTTTTTTTTCCCTTTTTATTCTCTCTCTAAACAACTATCTGTCTGTCTCTTCCTCCAATTCACCCCCTCTCTCTCTCTGTTGTTGCAGCATCACTATCCTGTCATAATTCTTCTTCTTCTCTCCATTTCTAAGAAAACTTGTCTTCTTCTCTCACTCTTAACTGTTTCCACAAACACAGTCTATTTCTCTCTCTAACTGTTTTTTTTTTTTTTTTCTCTCTCTAGCTAAATTTTTTTTTTTTTTTTTCTCTCTCTATCTGGCTGCTTCCTATGGAAGCTGCTACTGAAGATTGCTGCGTGAAAGTTGCAGTTCACATCCGTCCGCTTATCGGCGATGAGCGGCTTCAAGGCTGTAAGGATTGTGTCACTGTGGTCTCTGGGAAGCCTCAGGTACTGTTTACAGTAGTCAGAATGTGATCATCAATTGCTCATTATGGCAACGAATTGTTCAAGTTCTATCAGTTCTAGGTTCAGTTCTTAGTGATGATTGACTTTTAGGATGGGAATTTCTGGTGATTGATTTTATGGAGATCTAGATCTCAAAGATGCTCTAGCTCTAGCTTTCCTAATCAGGAAATCTCAGAGGCATGCATTCACTTTTTAGTCAAAGTAGCAGTGCGCTCATGATCTGATTTTAACAGCAATTTCATTGTTTTGGGATATTTGGGTAATTGGGTTGAATAGATATGGGGAATAATGTCCATATATAGAATTTTATTGGGCTTTGGGGACAGTGACCACATTTCTTTCTGCAGTACCAATTTCACAAATTCATTTGATATGGTGTGTGTGTGTGTGTGTGTGTATATATATATGTATATATTTTCATTGAGAAAAGACTTGAAAAATCAAATTGTTCCATGCACTGCCATATTGCTTCGGATTTCGACCAGAAGTCTGAATGGGTTCTTAGTTTAAGAAAGGAACTGTTGTATCTCCCTGCTATCTACACTCATCCATGTTGTTTCATTGGCTGCTTCTTTTATTTTCGTTACTGATTTTGGATTAAATTTGCAATTTTAGCTAATGTATATGTAAAGTGGTCTGCTTAAGGATTCTGCTCAATTTGGGTATCAAGCATGGTGAATATTTATCTGTATGTATATTGTCTCAAGTTCTCCAATACCAGATATAAAATTTTTTTTATTTGTTTTTATTTTTTTTATTTTTTGCTACCTGGTGAATGTACTATATAAAACCCATTTCTGCCAATAAGATATTTCACAAGTCCTTTTTGTAATTGTAACTTTAATTGTACAACTAATTTCTTCATGTTTTTTTCTCTGGGGAAATCACTTTCTTCAGCTCCTTGGTTCTTGCTTTGTAATTGCTCTGTCCTATAACATTTTTGCTTTACTTATGATATCTAGGGTTAATAGGCCAACCTCCAATGCTTATGTAGCCCAACAAGAATCTGAATAATTAGGTCGTCTTCTATGAAACTGTAATTACAAAAGCCAAGCGAAGCAAAGTACATGAAATTCAAAGTTGAATAATTTTAGTCATTGTAAATTGCTTTGTTACTTCTTAAAACCTTATGATGATCTAATATGCAACAGATTTAACTTTGGAATAATGATAGGTTACTGGTATATTAACTTTCAATCAATCATGCAGTCAAAAAGAATTAAATTCATCCGTTAAAAGGACTAGAGGTCTAAATTTAAATGATCATGAGTAGTGTCTGCCAGCTCATGTCAAATTTAATCAGAAGGGAACTCAATCTTGAAGTTATCTTAGTTCCATATTATGTGACACACAGAGTGTATTAGTTTGTTTTACCCTGAAAAGTACCTGTTCCAATTCCTTAGTGTAATAATAATATTGTGAGACCCATTCCTTTATAGCTTAACAAGGTATCATCTATCTCATTCATCACATTCCCTTTGATAGTCTCAACTTTTGAGATTTTACATTCTCTCATATACATCAAATCACCTTCCTCTGTTTTACCCGCTTTCCCTCTCTGAGTCATTTCCAAGAACCAATATTTTCTTTGTCCGGTTCTTAGAAGACAGTCTAACAAGGTATCTGAGCTTTGGTTTCGGAGGCCTTTGGGGTTCAGGTCTCCTCATTTGCATGTCTTCCCTTGTAGTCTATGCGAGTTGTGTAGAGTAGCTGGTTATAAAGAAATATGTTTGTAAGTAACTACAATAAGAACTACACAACAAAAACGGCAACAACAACTGAAAGCAATAACAACAGAAATAACAACAAGAATAATAACTGAGAGGATTAACTGCTGTATTTTTTTATTTTTCTTATTATCAATTATTTATCTTAGATTCCGTCATTGTTAAACACTGTGCGACCGTAGTTATACGTGATGGTCAATTTAGCTTTCAGACATTTTAGTTGAGTTGCCTTTTCTTCTCTTTACTCTTTCTTCAGATATAATTTTGGCTCTTTTTGGGTTAATAGTGGTTGTGACTCTGGTGCAGGTACAAATTGGCACACATTCCTTTACTTTTGATCATGTCTATGGGAATGCTGGTTCTCCCCCATCTGCAATGTTTGACGAGTGCATTGCTCCACTTGTTGATGGTTTGTTCCACGGATATAATGCTACTGTTCTTGCTTATGGTCAGGTAAAAGCTTTATTGTTTACAGATAACTACTTATTTGTGTATTATAGCTCAATTTCCTTGCAGTTTGTAGTAATTGACATTTAAATTTCTGCAGACGGGTTCAGGAAAAACATATACAATGGGTACTAGCTTCAAAGATGGCTCCCCAACAGGACTAATTCCTCAAGTTATGAGTGCTTTGTTCAGCAAGATTGAAAGTTCGAAGCATCAAACTGAATTCCAATTGCATGTTTCCTTCATTGAGGTTCATTGAGTTGTTTCTTTTTCCTAATCCTTCATATATAAAGATATATACTCCTTAAGTCATCATGGTGGTTCTCTTCAGTATAGTTCTTTGAAGCTATTAGTATTTTTCTTGGAAAATCATGTTCAACCACTGAAAAGAAAATAAATGAAAAGCATATGGGTTGTGTACTGATCAAATGTATGATGTGTCTGGAAATGGTACATATGACTGAATTAGCATATCAACAGGGATTATAATGCAGCATCTGTATCATAGATGGCAATAAATATTGCACACACCCAAACAAACACATATCTGAATTTTGTCCACATAATATATTTCTCAACTGTTTTTATTTGTACCATAAGCTCATGACTGTGGCTTTCACTTTGTGAACTTAGGTTTGTGGAATTTTCCTAACGAATAATGCTTTTTAGTTTTCTTTCAATTTTTTAGGTCTTGTGCTTTTTAATCTCTGAAATTCCGTTCAACAATTTAATTATTATCAGGACAAGATTTTTTGAGCCCAAGTTGCAAAATGTCACATCCACTCAAGTAGATGATATAACTTCAATCTTCATTTTGTGGATTTCAATTTCCTTCAAAGAAGTGCTGTTTAATTGATTTTGTTCCAAAAAAAAAAAAAAAATCACTGTCTGAAAGCTTCTTCTTCTTTTTATTATTATTTTTAATGTATGACACTGATCATGAGTAATATGTAGATTACCACTCTGGTTCAGTGAGTTTCCGTTACTAGTTTCTGATATTTGGATGTTGTCTTCCATTCCTATAGCAAGTATGTAACAATAAAATTTTGATGTGAAGATCCTAAAAGAAGAAGTACGAGATTTGCTGGATCCTACTTGTGTGAACAAATCAGAAACTACAAATGGGCACACGGGGAAAGTAACTGTACCCGGGAAACCACCAATACAAATTCGCGAAACATCCAATGGTGTTATTACACTGGCAGGATCTACTGAAGTTAATGTCAGAACACTAAAAGAAATGGCTGGTTACCTGGAACAAGGATCCTTGAGCAGGGCAACAGGGAGTACAAACATGAATAATCAGTCAAGGTTTATCTTTCATTACAATATATATTCTTTTAATCCTGCCTTAAAGGAAGATAGATGCCATGTATATAATTTTCTATCATCAGGGTGGGTGAAAAAGAAGCCTGTGCATTTTAAACTTCCATTCATTTTTTTATCATCTAGGTGTGCGAAAATAAGCATTTGCATTTTCAAATTTCATTCACCTAATGTGGAAAAGTTGATTACAAATTTATTTTATTGTTTCAAATTTCTATAATCGTGTAATGTGCTCATTGGTTAACCGATTGGGCCTGGATTGAGGGTGAAGGGATTAGATGGATTTGTTACCTCTGTGTTTAGTAGAAGTCTTTTCTTATTGGAGTGTTTTAACTGATTTTATTTATTTATTTATTTTTTTCCTGTCAATTTTGCAGTAGTTACTGCAGGCTATTTAAACCACCATTTCTTGTTTTTTTGTTTGTGCAGTCGCTCACATGCCATCTTCACCATCACACTAGAGCAAATGCGTAAGCTCAATCCAGCTTTTCCTTGTGATGGCAATCTCAATGAGAGTATGACCGAGGAATATCTTTGTGCGAAATTGCATCTAGTAGATCTTGCTGGATCAGAGCGAGCTAAAAGAACGGGCTCGGATGGTCTGCGTTTTAAGGAAGGTAGGTTGACCAATTTTCCATTTGTTGCATCTAAGAGATGCTTTTGGTCATAGAAAGTAATACATGCAATTCTTTTGTACAGGAGTTCACATTAACAAAGGCCTTTTAGCACTTGGTAATGTGATCAGTGCACTTGGTGATGAGAAAAAGCGGAAAGAAGGTTTGCATGTTCCTTACCGAGACAGTAAACTTACTCGGCTTTTGCAGGTTCCATACACTTCAAAAGTTTGATATTTGATTTTATTACATAAAATACATTTGTTACAGCTTGTTGAGGAGATGATCTAGTTCAGCCTCAACATTCACTTGTAAATACCTTTTGATGCGCTATTAGAGTTGATTTGAACTTATAAAAACCAATATGCAACAAACTATCATCTAGTGTAATTAATGATCTATCATGTATTTTTTTCAATTTTTAATAACAAAGCATGTCCTTGTGGTTTGTACAGATGCATGAACCTTTGGACACCTCGTCAACTATATATGTATCGCAATTTGTGAAAAATTCACCTTTTAACTTGGGACATTCTTTACTATTATGTCCTGTATAATATGGTTAACATCTCATATGATGCAAATAGATGTCATAGCAAGTTGTTGATTAGATATACAAAATACTCATCAGAAGCTAATTGCAATTTTAAAATGTCCAGTTACTCAGAATCGAAAATGTCCTGTGGAATAATCCAAAATTGATTTTTCTGTGATTGCTTTATATGGGTGGAAATGAAGTAAAAATAATAGTCGTAGTTTATACAGTTAACCTAGAGATGGAAACTGACCAATAGGTGAATTTGAAGTGAAAAATGATTACTTTGGCAATATTCCATGAAATCTGGGTTTACTAGGTGGGAAGGTAAGTTGGAAAGCTCCAGTTTTTTTCCCTTTATGTGTGAGACAAGGACTTATAAAGCTCTTAGAAACTGTTCATTGTAGATGCTTCTAGTGGGCTTGCACTTGTTATTATCACCATTTTTGAGAAGTTTGGCTCTATATTTTTGAGGGACACTGATAAGAGTTTGAGGAAATCAAGAAAGGAGGGATGAATTTTACAGCTGGGTGTAACATGGGACTAGGAGCCTAGGCAACCAGTTGTGTCAAACCGTTAAACTGTTAAGGAAATGGGCCTAACATTTGTATATCAAACTTCCCCAGTATTTTGTAAACATAAAATTAACTAATTTACTCATTAAGAATATCTCCACATTATTAAGATGGTATTGTACACTTATTGAGTTATTGGCACCCATTTTTAATTAAAAGAAAACTAATTCTATATTTTAATGTAGAAGGCAATTATGTCAAAATTACTATGTATTCCACATTAAAATGTTGTTGGTGGCTTCTGGATGTTGAAATGTAACATGCACGTGTTGCAAACACAAATCTCATAGTTGTATTAAAAGTAGTACTTAGGTTCTAATTCAATATGCCTGCACGTCAAATCTGAGATACTACGAAGTAAGAAATCAATGCACTACACTAAGATAATCACCTCAAGTGATATATGGAATGTATCATGTTCATGGAAAATCCAGTATCCCTTGCGGTCAATTAGACTCTCTTAGTTGAAAGGAACTAATAGCTGATATAATCCCATACAAACTTTAGCTTTGGAAGCTTCAACTTCATATTCTCCTTATCCTTATCTTTATATTATTTTATTCTTTCATGTAATTTAAGTTTTTGCATTTTGGCAGGATTCACTTGGTGGTAACAGCAGAACGGTCATGATAGGTAATTTTGTGTTTTTGTTTTTGTAATTTTTATTTTACATATTGGCAGTATATTATGATACTTGTAGCAATGGTGTAAGACAGAGCACTCGGTTTTGCACTCGTGTCCTCTAAATGCGTGAGTAGTTGGTGTAACATGAAAAGAGTATGCATATACCTGTCATGCTATAAGGCCATTAATGAGTTAGTATGTCTGTCCTTACCTGCTGTCATGGTAAACATATGGAAATATGAAATGAAGGCCAAATTGAACAGGGAATTTTAACTTCTCAAATTGAGTAAATGTTCTATATAGGTACAAAGAGACTGTTTGTAAACATGTTTTCTTGTGTGTGATCACCAACATTTTCAATGCTCAATTAGTTTACTACTATTATCTTTTTCATGTTCTTTACAAATTTCCCATTTGGTTCCTACCTTCTTATTCCTTCTATTGTTTTCCATTTTCTCATCTCAACCTGATATTTCTTAGAAGGAATATTCATCGATCACTCAAAAAGCTGATCCATTGTGTAGATATGCGTCGCTTTAAAGAAAATCCATTTATCCCTGTGTTTTAGAGTGCCTTATTTTCTTTAAAGGTTATACATGGGAATCATGGGCTCTTCCACAAGGATTATGTTCCTTAATTTTCATGTTTCAGGATGAATAGGATCATTTAGAAATGACTTATTGCAACTCATCAAAATGGCTTTTCTTGTTTGTTAGGCCAAATGCATGAATCGTTGTCAACATTGTCTCATACTGAAGGCTGTAGAGCCTGTATTTGTCATTAAGCATTGGACTATCACATCTTTTTCTATAAGGGCAAACCCAGTGCCAAGAGGCTCCCACCATTGCGGGGTATGGGGAGGGTCAGATGTACGCAACCTTGTCTTATTGGTGCAAACTATTGGTCTACGATGGATGTGACTACATATCTTGACTGACTATCAGTTATTATTCTTCGTTAATGCTTCCTTTGACTTATTGTGTCTTGCTCCTCATCATCTCAAGACCCTTATTTCCTCTATGCTCATTTTATTTGTCATGTTTTTTGGTTATCCAACATTTAATACCATTATTGTCAAGCCTTATGCAAATTTTATAATTTGTTTTGCTCAACATGATTTGATTATCAAGCAACACATCAGAAATACTTCTTTGCTTTGTCTATCCACCTCAAATTCCATGAATAGCATTTCTTTTGACCCTAGGTTTGTTAGGAGGGAAGAAAGGGGAAGTGAGGGGATTCGGGAAGGATGGAGCATGCTTCCATTGTTTGTTAGAAGAGAAGGTTGGAGGAAGGGTGGGTCATCCTTTGGGTGGAAGGAAGGTTGGAGGAAGGGTTAAGGATATTTCCTATCTAACATGGAACCAACGGTGTTACTCTCATGCATCAAAATTTGTCAGGTTACATGCATATTGATTTATATATGGAGGGTATAGTGGTAAAATAATATTACCATCATCCTCTTCTTTCCAAAAAATGGAGGCTTTAACTCCTTTCCTTCTCTTTCATTAAATCAAACAAATTTGCCTCTTCCCTTCTTTCTCCTCGTATCCGTTCCATCCACATTGTCATCTTTCCAACATAGCATTAATCTTCCCCTTACGGATGATTAATGCTATGTAGTGAAATGATTGCTCTTTTATACACCTTGCTATGAGTATTCTTTCACATTTCTAAGATTATATTCAATGTCTACTAAAGTAGTTCTTATCTCATAATTCCATCTGTCTATTTTTCATAGTTTTCACGTGCCTCCTATCTAATCTTCTTATTTGTGCTAAATTAAAATAATCTACATCAAGATGCCTCTTATATGTTCACATTTTTTGGTTGTGGCAAATAACACACCCACACCAATATTTTTCCCTTGCATAGATGCCTCTTATATCTTTACTGCATGAGAAATTATGCCTCTTATATCTTTATTGCGTGGAGAAATTTTGGACTAGATTAGCCATGTTATATTCTCATTGTATTTCAATACTTATTTTTTAAAGAAATTTTAAGCTTCTCCTAACAATTATACATTTCTTAGCTTTTCCTATGATATTGTACTTGGAAAAGTTACTTTTTAAACTCTATGGGAACCATTATACTTCAATAATTGTGTCCAAACTATGATCATTCACATGTCAGCACAGAACCATCCACATGTGGAATTGTGGATATGAAATGAGGTTTTTCGTGATGATATATAGAGTTCAAATACAAAATATGATCCTTAACGTGAGAAATTTGTTGAAAGATACAAAAATACAAGCATGTTATTCAGCCATTATGGCGTACATTCACGGCACTCAAAGCCCGAAGGGCTACATCACTTTCATTATTTTCCATCTTAATCTCTGTATACAATGATCACCTCTATTTAAAGGTGAAAGAATACAAGCATGTGATAAATAGATATAAGAGAGATTCCTAAAATCACTCCCATGATTCACTCATATCAATATTATGTCAGGGCTTAAATCACTCCTATAATGATATCCTCCAAAAATAACATCTCCAACAAAGTTAAAGAAGTTCAAAATATTCATCTCAGAATGGAGTTACTGAGCCTTTGTGCAACTTTTGAAATTCAATTTTGTCCTTTTGCTTTGAAAAAAAAAAAAAAAAAAGTCAATTTTGTCCACTGTACGTCTGATTATTGTTTCCTGTGTATGTTCATGTCTGTTACCATGTTTATGCTCCTTTGCTTCACTTTATTGTTCTAGCAGCAGCCAGTGTTTTTCTAACAGACCGTTGAATTTATTACCTTCTAATAAGATGATGAAATAAAAATCTATAACCTTCCCATAATATGATTAAAAAAATGCATTATTAGCAGGATAGCGTTTTTCATGCAAAAGTATTTCCTACCACAGACTCTTAATGTGAATTTTTTTGCTTTTTCCTCAATAATGTTAATAATTTTACCTGCTGGCATTTTTTTGGTTTTATTCCACACACAAACATGACTTTTGGGTAGAAATTTGTGGTTTTCCTTTTAACAAGATTTCAGTGTGACACTAGAGATCATATCTTCCAATTAATTTTTTTCTTTTTACTTTTTCCTCTCTGCCTTAGAACTATTATTTGCATGTTATTTTTTGAGATCAGTAGCTAAAAACTTTTTTATGATCTTATTCATGGCTATCCAATCTCTTTCCTTCCAGCCTGCATTAGTCCTGCTGATATAAATGCCGAGGAAACTCTCAACACCCTAAAATACGCAAATCGTGCTCGCAACATCCAGAATAAGCCTGTTGTAAGTTTTTTAACAGTCCTTTTGTCTCCTTAATTCCCTTTTCATTTCTAACACGTTAAGATTCCTTACATTCTTGAACATTTTATTTAAACAAGGATTTTGTTTAACTCTTGAACAGGTCAATAGAGATCCATTATCTAGTGAGATGTTGAAGATGCGGCAGCAGTTAGAGTTCTTACAGGCAGAACTTTGTGCTCGTGGTGGAGGAGCTTCATCTGGTGAAGTACAGGTACTTGCATCCTTCGTACCTAAATTTATCTCTATCCTAGATTGAACTTCGCTTAATTAATCTTTCCTGTGGAGGGAATTCCTATTTGATTGGCTATCAAAAGAAGTCATAAAACCATGGGAACCTTGGTATGCTGCTACCTCCCCAAATGGGAGATTGAAGGTTCAAGCCCCCAAGTGGGGGTTAAATGGGTGTGTGCGTTGCTTGCTTACCCAAAAAATGTAATAAAAATGTTTCTAATTATTTAGGTTCTAAAGGAAAGGATTGCTTGGCTCGAAGCTACAAATGAGGATCTTTGTCGGGAACTTCACGAATATCGCAGCAAATGTGCTGCCACAGAGCAATGTGAAATGGATGATCAAGTATGTGGTAGATTTGGATTTATGGTTTACTTGGTTTCTTATTATTCTGTGCAGATAATTTTTAATTATGAAACAGTTTGTCAAAATTGAAGTGGGCTCAAATGCATCAGTTGGATGGGCTGCAAATTTTTGGCTCTCTCTCTCCCCGTGTTTGTGTGCGGTGGGGGGATGACCCTATTCAGAATTCACTATGAATGTGTCAACCCTTTCATACTCACACATCGATCTTCATTTTTTAGGTTGTTGACACCTGTTCTGTGAAAAGTGAAGGACTCAAAAGGGGCTTGCAAAGTATTGACTCATCTGATTATCAAATGGGTGAAAATATAACGGGTATGACTTCTCTGTTTTATAACTTGCACAATAGTCCTATTTATTGGTTGTGGCATAAATTCTGAATAGGCATTGCCATTCAGAATAAGAAGGCTGAAACCTATGTTTTCTTTATAACATTACCTGTTCTAGTCATCTGTGGGTGTGTTTGCGTGTCACCAGATTTCCTTTTTTAGGTAGCTCATCCAATTCATTTAGGTTACAAATGCCAATTTTTGCAGGTGATTCTGGGGAAATTGATGAAGTAGCAAAAGAGTGGGAGCATACGCTTCTACAAAATTCTATGGATAAAGAATTAAATGAGCTAAATAAACGTTTGGAGCAGAAAGAGGTATAGTATTAGCTTCATGTACTCGTGTTGATGAATGTGTTAGTAGCTATTTAGAGAGCATCTTTTATAAATTAATTTTAATAACCTTGTTTCACGCCCAAATCACATTCTTGTAAGATTTTATAAGGAATACAGAAGCCTGCTTTGAGTCAGAACTTTGAAATTATTTACCATGATCTTGTAAGAAATACTTAAGATTAATTGCAGTAAATAATGAAATGTTGCCATAAAAGAACCAAGACCATATTCTTGCAGAAGTACGGCAAGCATAATTTTATTGGTATGTTGAAAGGTCTCAAGAAAATAATTGTAACTGGAGATCATCTTTTACTTGGAGTTCAACACCTCTATAGGGAGAAATCACGAATAGTCTTGTTACCAAATTTAAATTTGAACTGATCTGAGGCTATAAATTCTTAATTGGTGCATTTAAGTGATCTTCCTGTATGATATAAGGTTGTCAATTCTTTTTCAGAATACAAGCAGCTGTATATTAATTACATTTTCTTATCGTTTGTTTGTTCATCCATTCAAGTCCGTGAGGCTTATGGCTGACAGAATGTTTCTGCTGTTTGTTCCATCTAAAGATGCATTTCACTGTATTATGATCCTTTGATTTGGCACTCTCCAATGCAAACTCCTGCAAAGGGTTGGAAGAGAATTCGAGTGAAGTATTTTTTTCTTCTTCTTACATGCATCTTTACATTTCAATGTCCTTGCAGTCAGAGATGAAACTTTTTGGAGGTTATGACACCATGGCTCTTAAGCATCATTTTGGAAAGAAAATCATGGAACTTGAGGATGAGAAAAGAACTGTTCAGGTTGATACAAGTTTCCTGTATGTCTTTAAGTTTTTATAACCTTCATAAACTTATATTTACTAATTTATTTCTTCTATTAATGCAGCAAGAGAGGGATCGTTTGTTGACTGAAGTTGAGAATCTTTCTGCTAGTTCTGATGGGCAAACACACAAGTTCCAAGACATACATGCCCAGAAATTAAAATCACTCGAGGCACAGGTGATGATTTTGTTTCTCAAGATGTCAAATTTTTATTTAATATACATCCCTTATCATAATTTTATTCTACAAATAAAAAAATGCACATTCTGCACACATCAGATTCAAGATCTTAAGAAGAAACAAGAGAATCAGGTTCAGCTTTTAAAGCAAAAACAGAAGAGTGACGAAGCCGCAAAACGTTTGCAAGATGAAATACAATTCATCAAGGCACAAAAGGTTAAATTACACTTTAACTTTCATTATCGTTATATTTTCTATTTTCTTTTTAGTGTATGTTCTTGCTTATTTATTTCTGAAGTTGTAGGTTCAATTGCAAAATAAGATAAAGCAAGAGGCAGAACAATTTCGACAATGGAAGGCCTCTCGAGAGAAGGAACTGCTACAGGTACATTTCTTTTTTCCCTGTGCTACAAACTTAATGCAAATATGTTATGCATGTCTCTTGTAAAATTACATAAAGGAAGTGAAAGTGGCATTGGAAAAATCAGTAGCAAGAAGGGCTATGCTTTTAAAAGTTATGTCCATGGATTCTGTTTTGACATCAAATATGCACTTCATTAACTATTTATTTACGCACTTTATAAAGAAATGGGGATCGGGTGTTCGAAGCAGTTACAATTATTGCATTTGCCAGATGTGTGTTCCCTTTTCATCATGGCATTCTACACGCTATTTTGAGAAAGAACAAAGATTATTGAAAGATCTGGTGTTACCCCTGCATTCGATATGATCATCCATGACTTAGTAATGATGACTCTCATTTAAACCCATTCATTGCCAGAGCTGAATTGAGGTAATCCACTGTCAGTAGGAACTTTACTATTTTTTTTTTCTTTTCGTGCCAGCGGTGTGCTACATAGCCCATAGTGCAGCCCTCTGGCTGGAATTATATTATATTCTTGTAAAATAAGCTAGCTTGTTCTTTTGCTATAATTGGAAAATGCTAAAAGTAGATGGGAATCTTTTTCTTTTTATTCTTTTAAAAATTTGATGAAGCAACACATTTCACTCTTCTCATGGAATTACTCGTAACTGATAAAATCTTTCAACAGATCTCTTTCTTGATATTTTACTTGGTTGTGCAGGGAAGCTTACATAGAACTAACATGATAGTTGTTTGAACCATAGAGATGATTGCCTTACTGCCACTTCTTATGAAAACTGAGATTTCTTCAAATTAATATAACAATAATTAATCTTTGTTTCGGAGTTGGGCAAAGAAGTGGCTATCACATAAGTTGGTAAAAAATTTATGGTAATAAATCTGCCTTGAGGCACTGCTCAAATGAAAATCTTATTGAGATAACAGCAGTTTATATGATTTTGCTATTAAAGCCGACCAGTATTATAGCTTTTAATAAATGTAGAGTTTTCATTAATTATGTTTGCAGTTCATTCACTCATAATTCTTTCTATTGGATAACATGTATTTCTGCTTCTATGTGTTGATATTGCATTTGCCGGTGCAGTTACGGAAGGAGGGAAGGAAAAACGAGTATGAAAGGCATAAGCTTCAAGCTCTAAATCAGCGCCAGAAAATGGTGAGGATTACTTTGCTGCTTGTGTGAATGTGTGTTTTATTTTGGGGGGAGGGGATGCTTTCATCTACTGAGCATGTTTTCTTTGGGCTGTATGCCTCAAAATTCCATCCTGACATGAAACATGGGGTTTTCTTTTTCTTTCTGCTTCTATTTTTCCTATACCAAAAACTACAAAAATATCTTAGCTACACTACTTTCATAAAGGTGGGCTTCATCACGGAACATATGTACCCAAATTATTGTTCTGTCATCACTAATAAAGCAGAATAAATCCTATTTATTCTATTTGCAAGAGTATTCCTATAGAGGGGCAAGATTATCTAGCATCCCTGCAGCCGCCCAGATTAAGGTTGTTTTCAGTTCCAGGAGCTGGAAGCTCATAAAAACCATTTCTTTTTAGTTGTATGAAAGATGATCTACAAAACATTGTTGGAGATTTGGGCTTTTTTAAGTTGACCTATACACCATTTTAAAGTAGATATGATGGTCTTGTCTATAATAAACCATATATTCTTTTCATGGAGTCAACTTCCAGAATTGATGTCGATGTTTACATTAACATCAAACAGAAATTATTGGCACTTTTCATTGGAACAAACTTTGTTTCAGGTTCTTCAAAGAAAGACAGAAGAGGCTGCAATGGCCACCAAGAGGCTAAAAGAGTTGCTAGAAGCACGCAAGTCTTCATCACGTGAGAATTCAGGTATGTATTTGCATTAAAATTTTATATAATGTCTTTTTAAAGCTGATGATTTGGCACCCCTTTGTTTGATGAAACGTACACCTATTAGGGTTTAAAAAGTAAACAATCCCCTAAATACCCTATTCAATTAAGCTTACATGGACTTTCAGTAATTTAGAAAATAGGGGTATCAGGGACCATTGAAAGGCTAGCTTTGTATCCAGTATTCCCCTCCCAGCACCCTCGATTAACAAGGACCGCACTGGATAATGACCCTTTAGAAAATAAGGGTATCCTCCTCATCAAAAATAGGCGGTGTCACAAATGATTTACTCTAGTAATTGTCCAATATAACTATTTTTCTGAATTCTGATAATATGATTTATTCCAGTAATTAGCAATGGGAATGGAACAAATGGCCAGGTAATCAGCTATGCTTCCTTATCTTAGTGTATGTAAATTATGCTACATGTTTGATTTCAAACCAGTTTAACCCAAGTTTATTCTCAGAGCAATGATAAATCCTTGCAACATTGGCTTGATCATGAGCTAGAAGTCATGGTGAATGTTCATGAAGTTCGTTATGAGTATGAGAAGCAAAGTCAAGTGTATGTACTCATTTCAAATATCTTTTTATAGTAAGTTCTGTATGAACTATTGTGCTTTGGTTTCTAAATAATTATTATTGCCATCTCCAGGCGAGCTGCACTGGCTGAAGAGTTAGCTGTGTTGAAGCAAGTTGATGAATTTTCTGCGAAGGGGCTAAGCCCACCTAGAGGAAAGAATGGTTTTTCCAGGTAAATTGTGTTAAATATATTTATTCTATTTGATCTAGACACCATCTCATTTTTTTTTTTTTTTTTTTTTGTGGGATTAAGGTAGCATGGAACATTACCCAACTTAAAAAGAAAAAGGAAAAGGAGAAAGGACACGATTTTCTTTTTCTTTTTATTGTGGGATTAGTTAATAAGGAAGCACCCAACATTACCCACCTTAAAAGGAAAAAGGAAAAGTAGAAAGGACATCATGAGATATATACAATATAAATAGTACCTTAAAAGGAAAAAGGAAAAGTAGAAAGGACATCATCATGAGATATATACAATATAAATAGTACCAGACTGTTTATATAATTTTTTCAATCATTTCCCTTGCTTGTTTTTGTTTGTCCAGGGCATCGTCAATGTCACCGAATGCTAGAATGGCAAGAATATCTTCTCTTGAGAACATGCTAAGCATTTCATCAAATTCACTTGTAGCTATGGCTTCACAACTTTCAGAGGCCGAAGAACGAGAGCGTGCCTTTAGTAGTCGTGGGCGGTGGAACCAGTTGCGTTCAATGGGAGATGCAAAAAGCTTGCTTCAATATATGTTCAATTCTGTTGCAGATACAAGGTGTTTCCTTCAACCTACTGATGTTTTGAATAATTTCATCTTCATTTTAACCTACAGTTTGTAATTCCATTTAGTATTATGTTAATCTTGATCTCACTTAACATTGATGAAGAGCTAAGAAAGTTTGTGCATTTGGTGAGAAACTTGAAAGGTTGCCAAATATACTTTAAGTGATCCGTTCAAGTTATCAATACTTTGATATGCTTGGGATAATTTAGGAAAAAAAAGAAAGAGATATGCTTGGGATAAATGTTGGATTGTTGTTTCTGATTGATCTCATCATTGTTTGAATTCAAATTATAGTATTGCGCAGATAATCTATTTCTCGAACTATGGTAGTTTGAAAGTTTCTTTTATGTGGTCAAAATGTAAAATATCATCTTCTGTGCTGGCAACAGGTGTCAGTTATGGGAGAAAGAAATTGAAGTCAAGGAAATAAAAGAGCAACTGAAAGAACTGGTAGGTTTATTACGACAGAGTGAAGCACGAAGAAAGGAAGTTGAGAAGGAGCTAAAAGTGAGAGAGCAAGCTGTCGCAATTGCATTGGCTACATCAGCTTCGGTGAGATTACTTGTCTAATTTTTCTTTTCATGCATCATTTAACTATGTAAGACTCGTCTAGGGCATATGGCAAAATTGTTGAGTCACTTCAAGCAAGCACTTGAATATGGAATTATGGATATCATCCAAATATTCTTTATGAAGGTTGGTGCAGTAAGTCTTGGGGACAGTGGCGGAGCCACATGATGTCCAACGGGGGCAGCTTCCTCAACTGGACTTCCATATTATTTTGATTTTATATGGGATTTTTTTTGTAATTATAAAAATGCCCCCCACTGTAAACTTATAAAATTCTCATAGAAAATCCAAAAATATTCTAAAAGAAACTCTTAATTACTCCAAATTCAAAAGAGACCCATAACTTTTCTCCTAATATTATCAATCCATACTTTAAATTTTGAATTTATTATTTTGGTTCATCATCATTCTTGCCTTTTTCCCACATGAAGGGCCATATTGTTTTGGTCCAATTTTCTTTTTATCATAGTATTATTAAGAAAAAAGTTCTCCCCAGCATGTATGCATTCGGCTTGAACCGAATCAGCTCAAATAATGAACTCGTAATTAAGGCTGCCACCACTGAAGTAAATTTCTGGCTCCGCCACTGCTTGGGTCAACCTTTGGAGCTTCAAATTTTATGAATGTGTAAAGTGTGTGTAATGGTTTTCTGAGGTTCTTCCTACATGTTTATACATCTGTTATGGCATTGTCATGGTTCCATGAATATAATTCTGCAAATTGCCTTTTGTTTTTAATTTAAAATTTTGTTTTGACTTTTAAGACTGGAAATGAGCAGGGGGGCTCTCATAATTCATTAAAACACTTCGCCGATGATATGAGCGGTCCCTTGTCTCCAATATCTGTGCCGGCCCAGAAACAGCTCAAATATACAGCAGGCATTGCTAATGGTTCAGTGAGAGACTCGGCAGCCTTTGTAGATCAGACACGGAAGGTCAATTTCCTCCTCCGGTTTGTTTTATGTTAGTTATGTGCTCTTCTGTTTAGCCGAATATGATTCTGGGAATCCCCTGTGGGTGCAGATGGTGCCAATGGGGCAGTTGTCAATGAAGAAATTAGCGGCTGTGGGGCAAGCTGGGAAGCTATGGAGGTGGAAGAGAAGTCATCATCAGTGGTTGTTACAGTTTAAATGGAAGTGGCAGAAACCATGGAAACTCTCGGAATGGATTAGGCACAGTGATGAAACAATCATGAAGGCAAGGCCTCGTCCACAAGCTCTGACGAATGTGTTGTATCAGAGTCATTAGCTTACTTGTTGCTCCTGTATATTCATCTTCAACCCACATAGGACCGACCCCAAATACATGGCCGGGGGAAGAACATATAAGCAATTACAGGTAAAATCCCACCATCTTTGACTAATTAATCTTTCTTGTGAAAATTATATTCTTAATCTTCAATAACTTGTAGATTTGTTTGAGTCAAAAATTCCTCAGATCTTAAAATTTTATAGGTTAGGATATTACTTGATTACCTATACCTGTGTCAACATATTGGGACAATTAATGTTGTTGCTAATTTCTCAATCTCTAGTCTTGTGAACTTCCAACAAAAATCAGAATTTTCAGCTTTTAAGCACTTTCTATATATAAAAAACATAAGATATTTTTCTTATTTCTTCTTCTGTTTTTTTTCCCTCTTTGTTTTATATGTATAAATACAGTCTGCAGTTTGAGAGGATGTTGGGATTTCTGCTGATAGCCGTCTTGGACGAATTGGATTTTGGGGTAAAATAGGTTTGTAATCCTGGAGTTCTGTAGCGGTGGGTACTGCACTGGGAGCATCTTGTAAAGTAGTGTGATGCAACCGGTGGGTCACCCGAGTAGTCACAAAGAAAATGTTAGAATCAGAAGGTGCAAGTAGTGACACATTGATCAAAGAAGATCATGCTTGTGAATGGGTGGTGGTGTTCGGTGTTCTGGTATATACACATCTGCCAATAACAACAAACTACTTCGATGGAGGAGACACTTTCATCAGGTCATAGTAGTGTGTATCTAAAGGTCTTTTCTGATTGTTTCTTTTTTCTTTTTTTCTTTTTCTTTTCCTTTCTTCATTAATTTTTTATGGTGTTTTATTGTGTGAGAGCACAATATTGATTTTGTTGAAAGAACTGAATTCTGCAGAAAATTTTATTATAGCAGAAGTGTAATTTTTTTAAGGGTGTCTTCTGTTTTTATCCTTTGTGTTGATGTATTGGATTGCACTCCTCAGCATTTTGTATGAAACCAAATGAAAATTCTTTTAAGAGGACTCTCTGTGTATGACACCAAATGAAAATTCTTTTAAGAAAACTCTCTCTCTCTCTCTCTCTCATTCTTGTTAGGGTGTCCTCTATTAGCCATGTTTCGCGCCAAGGTAATCAGGTGGCCCCATGCTATTGCTCAGCTTTCAAAACCTCAAATCCAATCTGATGTTCCTCTTGATTCCATTCCTTTGGATGTTATGGCTATTGCAGCCGGTGAATGTAAATCTCTTGTATGTTCTTATCTGACAGGTTAAAAAAATATATATATATATATATATATATATATATATATATATATATCTATTCTCTCAGTTTTCTCAACTTGGCTAACAAAGAATACACTTAATCAACATACCTACATCTTCTTGAGCTTTAAACACCACACATTTCAACAAAAATTTGAACTTAATTTTCTCCAACTCCAAATCAAAGGCACCGATTTGGTGTTCCCAAACATAGCATAAGCAGTTTTGGACATAGCATAAGCAGTTTTGGTCATGAAGATCATTCATCACACCATGACTTGACATTTGTGACATTGAATCGGTGTTTAGCTAGGTTGCTACCACTCAAAGAACGGCACATCATCAAATCTAAGTGATAAAATAAAGACATGCCAGAGCATAATGGACATGTTTCTCCCGTGAAAGGAACTCAGACAAGATTCCCTGCTTGATAGTTGCCCCCACAGGTGAAGGAGCCTCAATAAATATATAAGAAAAAACCGGCCGCAATCGTACATCTTAAAATACCAATTTTGTAGTAAAAATTAAAGTAATAATAATAATACCAGATTCGAAAACATAAAGAACACTTCACATTATTGCTCATATTCTTATACTGTAACAATTGTAATGACTAAAAAGGTACAATGTTTATAAGACTCTTACAGGGGAAGACATCTTCGCAAATTACTCCATTGACTTCATCAAATGCATGAGGTTCAAATCCTATATCAGCCACTCAAATGGCCTGTCAAAGACCAAGTATGCAATACATGACTGGTAAAAAGACCCAGAATCAAGAGCAAGTAGGCAGTTGAGAATACTGGTATGGTTTATAGACACATTATGTCAATCATGCACTTGAGGACTCGCATATATCTGCATCACACCACAGTCAGATTTTGCAACACCAATATGCATAGTGCTCGTCTTTGCGATGGTTACTAACGAGACCACCACACTGCAAACAGATGAAGCTGCTTCCGTCTGAAAATGCATCCATCATGATTTGCTTCCTGCCAGTCTCACTCAGTATAGAAGTTCCATGTGCATCAGGCTCCATAGGTAGGTTCTCTGTGTTCGGTTGAGATGGTTCGGTCTGCAAAGGAAGGGCTTCAGCAATTGCGCACTCAGCAAACAAAGACGCCAACTGATCAGCAGCAGCACTTGCTTGCAGTCTGTTTCTGTATAGTTCCTGTGCACGGTTCAGGACTTGAGACACAGCCCCGTCTCCACCTTGGGTTCTCATTGCCATCACCACCTATTGACAAGACTGGTTAAGTACTCAGAGGCAGCAATGCTCTAAGGAGACCATCTTATGTATTCTAACTTAATGAAACTGCAACTGTACTCTATTTACTAGAAGCACCTTGACAATCACCACCTCTCAACATACCTAAACATATTCATTATAATCTGCCACTATAAATACTACCTCCATCCCAAGATAAGTGTTCCTTACAAGGATCCCAACTTTTTAAACAACACGCATTTAATGCATAAGGAGGTAAGGCTGCATACAACTAACCTTCCCCAGAACCCACAATGGCGGAAGCCTCATGCACTGGATTTGCCCCTTTAGACTGTTAACTTGGAAAAGTTTTCAAACCCCAGGATAATTTAAGAAAATTGAATTTTAGTATATTGACTCTTAGAAAGGAGCTTATTTGGGGATATTCTGAAAAAGAAAGAGGAACACTTATTTGGGACAAATGGAGTAAAGTTGATAGAAGAGTAGACAATGTACATGCTGAAAAGAGATAAATGCATGCGAAGTTGCTAACTAGTACAAACGCAAATTGGAAGTCTGTTCGAAGTCTGCTCAAAGGATATCAGCTAATCAAGTTTTGATCTAGATAAAGGTTAAGATTCTGCTGATATAATTTTTTTTATTTATTATTATGGACCTTTATGACCCCAAGGATGTTTTGGTAATTTCACCAGTGGTGGCCCATGACTCAAATTGCTTAATGACGTTATTGGATCCTCGTGTGTGGTCTTTGATAATTTTAGAATGGTCAAAGTTTTAAAGTTCTGACCGACTTGGTCCTTGTCCAACTTATAGATTTTGGAGCTATGAGTGAGTGCATTATGAAACCTTAATCTAGTTTTGTTAGACATATTCTATCCTTTCGCAAGATCCAAATCCTAAGAGTTTAAATTGGACAGCCATCCTGAAGAAGGCTAATGGTTTAACAAGTTTTTTTTATCGACTTATAAAAATAATATATATATATATATATATATATATATATATATATATATATATATATTTTAACTAACAGGTTAAATTGGCTTTAGTACTTCACATGTCCAGGTTCTAGAACCTGAAAGCTTTAGCTTAGCAGTTATCCAAGATTACGAAAATGTCATAAAGGCTAATTCAAGTGAAGAACTGCATGCTTCAAGAGAGTTTAAAACATAAAAGATCACTAAATACAACCTAAATTGCATCGATTATGAGCTTAAAAGACTCATAGACACAAAGGATCGTCCCAAGCTATTGCAATAGCAAGATGTGCAAGACCAATTTCATGAAACTAAATTGGAAAGTGAGCAACTTCGTTCAGTCTCAATCCCATGGAGATCTTGAATACAAGTGACAAACTTTTTCTGAATTGAATTTATTACACCTATTTTACTTGTGCAAGTGTCAACCAAAAGGGTGCCACGTCTTTATCCATTTGGAGATCAAAGTGAATATCCCAACCAAGCTTCTCCACAAAGTTTAGGTCATGGGTATAATTGGCAGTATTCTTAAGGCAACAGGAGGTTGACATTTTCTCATCCGCCAATCCTAATGACCGTTCCATTTATCAATGGTGTCCACAATTAAAAGCCTTTTGCATTTGGAAGGAAGGATTAGTGTGATAACATCATAAGGCCCTCCTCATGATTCTATACAATTTCTTTCTTTAGTTCACCAAATAAAAAGGCTAAATGGAATGGGTATTAAGGTTCCTTCCGGCCAGGTGCCACTCTTCTGGCTCAACTAGCTCAGCATTTTCATATAAAGGGTTGGGGCTAAGCACATAGCTGTAGAATATGTTGCTAAACAGAGCTTAATTTCAAAGGCTTGCTAAAATTTAAGCAGGGATGTAACTATGAGACTGGTAAAAATGAAAATATTTCCAATGGAACCAGCCATCACTCTCATTTCTCAAGTTTGATCTTCCTGCAATCCATTGCCCCCTCCACTTTATAGAATTTCAAATGACTGAAGACTAAAAGATCAATATGATCCAAACTTAAGAGTGCAAATTAGGGCAGAATATTCTACTTCAACCCACCCACTAATTAATGAGTTTTGGGTGAGTAATTTAACTAAACGGGTCAGTTGACATAGAACGGTGTAATTAGCGTGTTGAGAGTGGGTACCGCCCAAATATCTCTCTTTTTTTAAAGGTCTTCCTAACATACACTTGCAACACATCCCTAGCTGTCACCCAAATAATTGTGACTCTCTCTCTTTCCTTGCTTTTTCTCTATTCTTTGATCTTTTGAACTTATGAATACAAACCCTAGCTTTTTTTATTTATTGGGAAAATCCTAGATCAAAAGGTGTACTTCATCGTCACCCAACACAGCCTTCAAATCTTAGATGATAAATGGTGCAAGGGTGGTTTAAAACTGGGGCATAATTTTGTGGTTGGTTCCAAGTCGATATGAATCCTGATGATTGAGTCGGGTACAAATTGACCCGATTGCTCAAAAAGCAAGCCATTTGTGTGGGGAGAAAAAAAAAACTCAGGTTGGATGTGGGTTGACCTCCCATTTACGACCCGCAACTAACACGCCCATTTGCCACCCCTAGTGCAAATAGTATTAGAACCTCCAAGCAATCTAAGAGTGCATGAAGCCTTTAAAGAATGGCATTTGAAATAAGAATTCTCATGGAGAGCAGCTGAGGTCTAAAAATGATGGTAATCATGTGCGTGTTCAACAAAACAGTGGGCATAAGTTGGTGACTTATAGAATTCTAGGTTACAATTCCAAAGCTTTCTCATCATGCTTCCCTCGTTATTTATTTATTTATTTTCCTAAATGCTTCCCCCGTTATTAGAATAGTCTGAACTCATCTCAACAGATTCTATGGTACTATGTATGATTTAATGTTTGCTGGAATAACTTCAACTTGAAAAATATAAAATCACCTTCTTCTTACTAAAACTATTAAGCCAAGGTAGAGAATTCAACAGTCACGTATTTTGGAGGGTCCAAAATTTTTGGATTAAGGTAGTAAAATGGCAAATCTGTTTTTTTTTTCTTCTTCTTCTTCTTCTTCTTCTTCTTTTATAAAAAAATCATTATTTTGCAATATCCAGCAAGAGGTTTCAAACCATGTGTTACAGAATTCAAAATAAAGCCTGAAGGAAGAGACAGAAAATGCGGACTAAGTATTTGAATATCAGATACATAGACTCTCAAACACTTGGTTTACAGCATTCGAAATAAAGCTTAAAGTTACTTCACCCCAAGTAATGTTGTTACAAGTAACCTGAACCATGATTAAAACTCGTAAACAATCATTCCCATAAACGATCATGGCTTAATAAAAATCCATAAGCCAATTCCAGTCTTCCAAAGTTGACCACAACTCCATCATAAAAAAACCCTTAAACCCAAATGCCATTTTACAAAAAAATTAATCCTTTTCTTTCAAAGCACAATTGAACTAGATAACCTTGGATCTTGATGACATTATGAGTTATGTTACATGTACTCTCCTCTTTATAATGAAGCATCTGTGCCAACACAACAAAACATAGACAGAGTTATGGAACATGGATGTGAACACAACTGTTATAATCAAACTGACAGTTGTCTCTCATAAAGAAAAAGGAGGAGGAAAAGGAATAAAAGGAAGGGAGGAAGGCAGAAGAGAGAAAGAAAAGGAAGAAGATGGATGGAAAGGTAAATTCACTCACCCTTTCTCGAGGTTCATAGTCACCAGAACTAGAAAACAATGCTAGAATTATGTGCTTTTGAGGAAAATGTCATCACCAATTGTTATGTACAGTTTTTCTTCACCAAGGCGTAGCTGTGCAAAGAACTTGAAGTCTACAAACCCTAAAAAAACATATTATTCCAATCTTGCACATGGACCCCTTTTTTTTTTCCTCTTTTTTCTTCGTTTTCAGTTTATTCAGAAATTACTTTACTATTCAATTTTCTATAATTTCATAACTTCATTAAGATACTTGTAAAGTTTCTTACTTAAATATATATATATATTGTACTCAGTTTTGCCCTTCTTCATACTTTTATTAGGTAGCAGAACCATATTTTATATTTCAACAATTTTGCAGTATTCTTGTATCCAAAATTTTAGGCATTAAAAGGATCTGACACTTTAAAACACCACCATGCCCAGCAACCGCACCCAAAGGCCAGATCCATGTAACTTAGATTTGGAAGGTATGGTTAAAGAAGCCTGACCTTACCTACATTACTGCACCATGTAAACTCAATTATCTTGTTTCAAGCGGACTCGTAGCAAGGTGGTCCTTCGGTCCATTCCTCCCCCTCCACCTTTTACTAACTCATTAGAAATGATGATTGTATTGCATATCTCAAAATCCCCTAGCATAGTAGTTAAAGTCGCGCCTACACTCAAGGCTCAGTTAGTGCGCTGAGCGTCTCAACCTAGTACAAGCATGCCCATTCAATTAGACTCGCATAAAGCTCTCAAGCTCACACTTTTTCAGAGGTTCCAAGCTAAAAAAAAAAAAAAAGAAAAAAAAAGAACGCCTTTTACTTTTTAATGATATATTCATATTATTATTATTATTATTATTATTATTATTTATCTAATGAATACTAAATTAGAATGCTCTATATCATATCATATTTAACAGATCATATAGTTCAACTATATGAAATATTTGAAAAACCCATAAATTTATGGGTCACTACTTACATTAATTGCATTTAGTGCTTGATTCTGAATATTTATGATAATATATGTTTAAAGGTTTTTAATTGTTTTATATTTATAATCACATTTAATTTGTTAACTGATATGCATATGAAATGATTTACGAGCATTAATTTACTTGATCCTCTTAGTTGATATATCAAAAATCCCATTTTTAAAGTTTTTTTTATGATAGTCCAAGTTGCAAAGTTGCATATGAAATGATTTACGCGCATTAATTTACTTCATCCTCTTAGTTGATATATCAAAAATCCCATTTTAAAAGTTTTTTTTTTATGATTTGTGTCGCATATCTTGAACTGTTCTGATTGTACATTGATTTTGTTGAATTCATAAGCAAGTAGAAAGATATATGTATGTTGATTTAGCTAATTTATTGAATTGATATGTTGAAAAAATTTCTTATTTTGATAATGACAAGTTGCAAAGTTAATTTATTCTTTATATACTTATAATTTATATGGATTATGCCTTTCTTCATCAGGCTTGCGCCTTATGTTCCGGCCTCGCGCTTAGGCTCCAAAAGACCTTTGGTGCCTTAGTTCCCCTTGAGCCTTTAACAACTATGTCCCCCAGTCATTCAGCTTGTTAAGGATTTCATTTTCCTTTTGATGGGTATATCACTTATGCAAAAAATGAAGTACTTTCTAAATCCCTGCCCTTATTCCTAACTGTGACTGGCGACTACATTATTCTTCCATCTAAGATGTTTTGCAGACTCTTTAGGAAAAATTCCTTCATTGTATCTATTGCGTACATCTTTCACACGCAGGAGTCTACCCAATTACATGGTTTAGTCCTTTAAGGAAATCCCCCAAGTTAAAAGTGTTTATTCAAAGCAATGCCCATATATACAACTGCATTGGTCAATTATCGCACAGAACGCAAATCTACCTTTCAATAGCGAAAGATTAAGGCTTTGTTTAAATGGAATGATTTGAAGGGATTTGGAAAGAAAATAAAAGAAAGGATAGGGAGGTTCGTGCTTGGATTGTTTTTATGGAGAGAAGAGAAAGGATTGGGAGAGATTTGTAGGAATACCCATCCCTTCAAATCCCTCATGTGCTATCCTCCCAAAAATGAGAATATGATTGATTTGCATTCATTGATTATTTGAGGATTCTGTTTACTTATCAAAAAAAAATAAAAATTATTTGAGGATTCTGTTTAAATCATCAATTCACCATTTGGGTTATCTAGAAATTCATGTGAGGAATCAAGGGTTTTTGAAGGGGAAAGTTAATTGTAAATGCTAGGAGCATCATATTCTTCTTTTATATTTGTCCTTTACATCATAAATTGTACTCACCATGTGAATTACTCTCTACCCACTTTGTCGTGAAATTACAACAATGAAGTTGTCAGATCCTCCCCAACGGGCTTTGCTGTTGACTTCTAAGAAAGGTAGACTTTGAAAAAACAAGTCATTTGATAGGTTATTGCTAGATAAATACAAAAGGGTATAATAGTAATTTAATTGTTATCCTTTCTTTTTTTTTTCTTTTCTCTCCTCTACCTTTTCCAAGCAAAAATACTATAATTTCCTTTCTTTTCTTTCATAATTTGTCCAAACATGAATAGAGATTATTGCCATCCTTTGTTTTCTTTTCTTTTCTTTTCTTTTCACTCCTAATTAATGTTATCATTTCTTTTCTTTTCTCTCCTAGTTATCCAAACGAAGCCTAAGAGAAGACAAAAATTAGGATTTATCCAACAGCAATGAGATTCTGAGGCCCAATAATATAGAATTAAAATGACTAAATCTATTTCAACATCCATTATTAATGAGTTCAATACAGCTAACAAATGCATCCAACTTCCCAGTAACAGTGCAATGAAGCTCAATAGTGATGATTTATCTCTTTAATGCCTCTGTCAGTTATGCCTATGTAGTTTTTAGGGAGATAACATTGGCACTTTATGTGTCGTTTCCTCCAATTTGACCGCATAAGAAGCCTCTCCTAGAGCAGAATTTTCCTAGCCACGTCTTCAGACTTAATGAGGTCTATTTTCAAATGCTTTTTTCGTATTTAATTCATACATAATCCACAAACATGGTTCTATGCAATGCGTTTAGTGGCCTTTCTTCTTTAAAATACACTTGTTCATATCAATACGTTGCACACTATATTGTATTCCATGTAAACCTTGTGAGCAAACTTTTTAACCATGATAAGGAGACTTAATGCTGCCTAATTTGGGCCTTTCTAGTACATTTTATTTTGGATGGACCACCTCTTATACCATATCCTGGTATTGCTATGCCCACAAGATTGAATATTTAAAGCGGAACTGACCAGCGGAGTGTAATCTGGTCTTACCCGTCCCACCATTCCTAGGTACTTCTACTGCAATCCTGCTCTTCACAACAGAATGGCAGGAAGAAATTCAAGTAACCAATCCTAAACAATTGGGAAGAGACTATATCTGGTTGAGTTCGGTAATTGATGGATTGATTTACTGGAAAACCACCAAACATATTAATGTGATTCAGCCTAAGAAGAAAAATCTAAACAACAGCATAATTTCTAAGCTGAACCAAAAGAGAATTTCTATCAAAATTATAAATTTGAATCCAAAAGCCTTCTCGTGTCAAATATACACCATCCAGCGTGAAAACAAGTGATGTAACTATTCATCCACGTTTAGAAATAATCATATTGATATACAAAATCAGAACAACTTGTGCAAGTAAATTGTAGAAGAGAAAATGAAAAACAACAAAAGCGAACAAGAATTAAGTGCATCTAAACCAAGAACTCGCCAAGAAACATCCAAAATGTTTCAAGAAATGAGGGAAAAAAACACAAGAATTAAGAGAGAGCCAGACAGATTATAGAGAGGAAATTACCGCTTGGAGAGCCTGAGAAGGCTTTCCCTGGTCGATGAGTTGGCGAGCCATTGAGAGTAACCCTCTGACGTCGCCGCCACCGCCGTCGCCTTGGCCGGAGTTCGAAGTCATCGTCGGCGGCGTCTCCGACTCCATCATATCGGTGTCCGTACTGTCCATGGCATCGTCTGGCATTTCACCGCCTAGGTTTTGTTCTTCTTTTCCCTTCTTGTCAAGTACATGAAATTATTGAATTGAAATAATGAAAAGTATAGAGAGAGAGACAGAGAGAGAGAGAGAGCGTGTGTGTGTTTAGACCTGGATGTTTCTAGCAATTTCTGCAAGAACCCCCCTCCTTTCTTGAATCCAAGTATTAATCATTTCATTCCCTCTGGTCTGGATTGTGCAGGGAAAGGTAGTACGACGTCGTTTTAATGTAATGTCCATAATATTTAATATTGATATATAACTATATTACAATAAATTCCTAAAAGAATTAACATATAGATACAGCAACAACATAAAATTACTGTACTTTTTTGTATCTATATATATTTTTTCCTATGTTATACATTTATTATGATTAATTTTTTCTTATAAAAAAATATGATGGACAATTGTTTTTTGAATTTATCGAAAATATGTACTATGGTTTATATTTTTAAATTTATAAAAAAAAATGATGGTTATGTTCCATGAAAGTGGACTTATATTTGAGAAGCTGTTTGATATAAAATAAAAATTAAATTTAAATTATGAATACATTTTTTTTCCTTTAGCAAAAAACGCAGGCACTAATTTATCCTAATGGACTCCAACACTCCCATGGACACAATACGAATTTTGAATATATTTAGTAATTATGAAACATGTATGTATATGTATTTGAATAGTTATTTTAATATTCACATGGTAATGATGTCATTAAAAACAGGGCTGCAACTCGGACGGATTCAACTCGAATTTACTCGACTCTAGCCCAAATTTTTACGAGTTTGGACAAATGATTTTTTGTGTTCAGCCTGGCTTGGGCTAATGGTGGTGTACGGGAGCAAGTTTGCAAAGATATGAACTAAGAGTGTGAGTGTGCAATGTGGCCAAGTTTTAAATTTATAAAAGCCACTACTACCTCTAACTAAAAATATAGTTAGGGTGAGTAGGGATCGTCCCAAGGGATTGGTGGGTCGTGTTACTATGGAAACAAGATTAGGGTTAGTAGGTTGAGTAATCAAAATGTGGTAGGTTTGATTGATTAAACTACAATTAAAACTAAACAAGCTCAATATAAAACAAGTAATTAAAAGATAGAGAAAACGAGAGAGAGAGGTCTTGAGATTTAGAGGTCACCACTAAGCATCACCTTTCTATATACTCAATTCATAATTAATGAGGGAGAAAACATATGTTGCAACAATAGTGAGTATGTGTGGTTGTTTCAACAAGCATGGATGATTAATTAAGTATATATTGTCTAAACAACACAATGAATAGCACAATATATCAAACTAAGTCATTAATCCTTTCTTTAAGCTCACAATCCAAACACATCACATGATTAGATGAATATACTACTTGCATTCATAAGTATGGAATATCAAACAACAAGCATGGATTGTCCTCCCATTTAACAACTAAAGTAACTACATTACATCTAAGCTAATGACATGAAAATTAAACTAATTAAACTAAGGGAGAGGCACAATCCATCAAGAAATGAGTATGAACCATCAAATAAACCACAAGAGCATTCTATTAAGTACTATGTCTTGACAATCTCTAGATCTATAGCATCAACACATATAGACATGCATCAACAACACAAGAGCTAGAGATAAACACATGAATATCTATTATAGTATACATAGACATATGAATAAAATGAAATGATCAATTGGAAGAATTAAACCACACAAATTATTGAATAAACAAGATCTATATATATAAAAATGTCAAAACATGTATTATAACATAAATCCCTTAAAAAATACATAAATCAAAGTAAAGAAGGCATGCTTAGGGCTAACTCTATCTCCAAGAGGATGTCTAGCCACTCATGGATGGTGTCCTCCAACCCTCAAGGGTTATCTCTGTGGTAGAAATTGCCCTTCTTCTTGAGGTAGATGGAAAACTTCCCAAGAATGTGTCTTTAGCCTCCTCTTCTCTTTTCTTCCTCTCTAAGAATATCAAAATGTTGTATCTAAAACATAAAAGCATCTCTTTTGCAAAAGTGGTTCATAATCCTTATATAGGTAGCTCAAATGTCACACCCAATGGTTTAGGCTCGTACATAAGGACTCCTCTAATGATTGCACTATGAGACAACTTTTAATGAGCTGGAAATTGATTTAATTCGCACTCGAGAGGGTTCGATCGATCGAACCTATGTTAAGATCGATCGAACTTGGCTGACATCTATCAAACTTTGGCTGGATCGATCCTCTCATGGCGGAGCCTTTTTGGATAAAGACAAATTTGAGATATTTTGGGAAAGAGACAAAAGTGGTAAGTGGGATGATACAACAGGATAAGATGGAATTTTTTCGGTCGATCTGATAAATGTTGGATCGATCCAACATTGTGGGATCTTTAGGATAAGGACAAAAGAGTTTAGATCTATCTTGGAGTGCAGAGATCGATCTATATCAGATCGATCGAAGAAATTCTGTGATCGATCGAACATTGTAAACTTCCACAACTTGCTTCATTTTACTTCCACTCTGCTCATTTCTTCCATTCATCTCAAGATTGCTTCAATTATGCTCTTATTTGGTTGAATTAGTTTATTTTGGGGATAAGTGCCTGAAAACGGAAATAACATGAAATCAATCTAAAGCGGGAAAATAAAATAGATAAAGGTCCTAGAATACCTAAGCTCAACGGGTTGAAATACGCATTTTTCAGCGCTTATCATGCCCCCAAACTTAAATATTGCTAGTTCCTAGCAATGAACTAGAAAGTAAAGGAATGAAATGAACAATTATACAACTATGAACTAGAAAGTAATAAATGGATAACGCCGCTTTCGTAGGGAACACGATTGCATATAGCATATGCAACAAGCCTTTTAAACCCATAGTGGACGAGTGAAGTTTCGTAAGGGTTTCCAGAAATGATACTCACAAACGTTAAGCTCATTCTTTCAAAAGAGGCACCAATATTGTAAACAAGCATTGGGAGAAAACCACCTCAAGTATGCAGTTTTTCAACCATTTCCAAGCAATCTCCCAAAATTTCAACACCAAGTAAGCAAGTATGGTTTTCCACACATCAAGAAAATGATCATGCAAATCAAAACAACTCTAGGATCCTTTTTGAGTGGACCGTCATAAAATATGTTGCTATCTTAGCCAACTAAAAAAATGATCACATCCTTACCCTCAAACTAGCACACAAATCTAGTACCGATCATTAAGACAAAGAATGGACCTTTTATTAAAACTTTATTCATCTAGGTGCGCTTATTCTTCTTCTTCTTCTTCTTTTTATTTTTTAATTTTTTTTTATACCTAAAGATCAAAGATGGAAGCATAGTGCAATGTGTTGATCTATTAAGCTTTCTAGCGATCCATGAGGTCGAGCGTTAGGTTAATGACTCCCAAACCAGACGGCTTTAGGGCACTAGGTGTTCAAACACCCCTAAGGACTTACAAGCTCAAATCAACTAGGCTACAAATCAAAACAACCTTCATCTAATCATTTCCCACTTCTCACCTTTTGGGAGAAGTCCTCACTTTTTATTACTTTTATAACAAATTTTTTTTTTTTTGAATAATTAACCTAGAGTTTGGGCCCTCCACCTTTCGGCGCGAGAAATTCAGTGCTTGATGAGGCTAGAATCCTGGCTATTCAATGAAAATGGTTTGTTATCCACCTTTATCAAAATGAAAGCTTTCAATGCATTAATAGCCCAATTGTGATATAACCAATTCAATAATCAACCAAGCATGTATCCCATAAATGAATGCTAGTGTGCGTCTGTGCTAGTGTAGAATCCTAGAGTGAATCTCAAAATAATCACAAAATCAGGATAATGTGGACCACAAGTGTAAACAAGATATCAATCTTTCGAAAAATTTATTCCAATATGGCATCCACAAGGCATACAAGGAGTATTGGACTCTCAAGTCGAGTAATTTTTAAATTCTAAGCAATATAGTCCTCAAAAGATCAAAATCATAGCTAGTCATGGACCAATCATAGCAAATCCCTCAAATACACAAGTTATGCTCAAAATTTGAATTTAAAAACAAAACACTACAAAGCACATATTACCCCCAAACTTAAATGGCACAATGTCCTCAATGTGCAAAGAGAACAAAAGGAAAGAGTATACCAGTGCAACTAAGGCAAGAAAGGTCGGGACCGAAGTATCCAAAGTTAGTGGTGTAACTCCCCCAAACTTGGGATTAACTGTGGTCCTGAAAAGATGGCACTGGGCTAAAACTCATCAGATAACAAAAAAGGATAATAACAGTGCACAGTGGATATGCAAGTGTAAATGGGATAGTCAAATGAAATAATGAGAGAGGAATAAGGGTGGTCCTGAAAATTTGGGCAGCACTTTTTCTCACTGAAGTCACTGGGATGCACCTGATAATGGAGTCAATCACAGACAGATATATCAATAGAAAGATATGACATCCAAAATATCATGCATAAAATAAGAAAATAAAGCAGTGCATAGTACATCACAGTAATAGGGTCGACAGACTGGCCGCAAAAATATCACAACAGTATCAAAAGAGCAGTAATGTCTCACAGATATAATGGAATAATGAAAGAGAGGAATAGAGATTAGGTAGATGAGGTAAGACGGGCAGGGCGTGATCCGCGTATGTCTCTGGAAATGTCTCGCAGTGCAGCCATGACATCCGTACGCAGGGAAGAATGTCAGCTCGGATAGAGACAGTGTTTGCGCGGATGGAGACTACATCAGACTGAAGTGAGACAACAACGTCCTCCAAAGCCTGGATACGCTCTCCAAAGCCTGGTGTCTATGCTTGTGATACCCGGGGGTATTACAATGCTGGAGCGTTAAGTACCACTGGGTCAGGAGAATGATGCTTATCCTGACGAGGCTCCTGGACATGTAGTGGCGACCCCGCTGGAGAGTGATGCAGTAACTTCTCTGCTGGAGGCTCTTGCTCCAAGTCTATATCCATATGTATGGCAGCCGGATCGACTGCTGGATCGTCTGCTACTGCTAGTGCGTCTGCCTCTGCTGCCGCCGCTGCTGCTGCCTCATTCTTAGCTGCCTCCTCTGCAGCTATGAGGGCATCCTCCTGTAGGCTCTTAATAAGAGCATTGTAGTTCTTATTCCAATCTTTCCGGCCGAAACGGCAGGTTCCAGACTCAGTATGCTCCTGGGGATGGAA